ATTGACAGCAACCGAAGTGCCACTGGAGAAACATCTGCAACCACCATCCCACCGCACCTATCAGACGCCTATCGGCAAAAGTCCCTTATAAGCCCACACTATCCCGCTTCCATGGCGACATTCAACGCTCGCACTCTAAGACAAACAGGTCAACTGGCTACACTCGCACGCACCTTGGACACACTGGGTATTGATGTGTGTTGTGTGTCCGAAACTAGGATCAATGAACCTAACGGGGTTATTGAATTAACTGCACCCGGCTTATCCTCTCGTTATTGGTTGCACGCATCCGGAGACGCCGATGCAGCACTCACGGGTCAAGCTCGTGTAGGTATCATTCTAAGCTCTAAGGCTGGGCCATTGTTGGTTGATTGGATTCCGGTGAACGGCCGTTTTTGTGCAGCCCGTCGGACGACATCAGCTAAGGTTGATTCAAGAAGTAGTAAAAAACGCTGTTTGTTCGTAACTTCCGCTTATGCTCCCACCGACTGCGGTTCTAATGCTGTCAAGGACACATTCTATCACGAACTGAATCCGCTACTACGCAGTGCTACTAGTTCAGATATTATAGTACTTGCAGCGGATATGAATGCACAAGTAGGGCGTCTGAGCTCTTCTGAAGCTCAGCTGGGTGGTAATTATGGACTTAACTCCGAACGGACTGACAACGGTGAACGTCTGCTGCAAGTGTGTGGTATAGTAACCATTAACCAGCAGACCTCGTTGTGTCTGGGATGAAAAAGGTGGTTCGCTATCAACAGCGGTATGTTCCCGTTACCCTTCAACATCGCAAGTGAAGACGTGTTGTCGAGTACTAGTATTTATCAAGAGTTTGCCGTAGGGCTTCTACAACAGATCGCGCGAACCGACTTAGATTATGCCGATGATATCGACTTAGTTACTGACGATCCGCAAAACCCCCAAGCTTATTCTGAATTACTCGTGAGTAGAGGGATTTGGTAAGATTTATTTAATTCATCTTAACTACAAGCCAGATAGGCTGTTTCGTCCTCTTGGGACGCGTCAGTAGTGCGGATTCCCTCGGTCCTCTTCGGAGAACAGAAGTCATGACCGCTTGTGGCATGCATCAATAACCAGCTCATGCATGCGAGTACGGTGTACGTCTCGTGAACCATATCGATGATGACTGGTTGAACATTCATTGTTTCGGAACAAGAATGAGTGTGCGTGAAGCAACAATCCGGATGCTGTCGTTTGTCAAGAATCGCGGATTGTTAGCACATAGCGAGGATAAGTTACAGCGCATGACGACGGCTAAATTCAGACTCACTAACAACACTGGTAAAACTGTATGCTTTTCTCAGCCATCACGAGGAGTGAGATCTATCGGTTACCTGCTAATCAAAATTGTTTGCGAAGTTTTGGAGATCTCACAAAAGTTTGCTACCTCAGGAACACGATGACCAGTGGGCTGAGCATCCGCGTATGGAAGGCATGCGTGACTTTCGGCAAGCTGGAAGTGTAGGTGTTGTGGAGCCATCAGCTGACTTTTGGAAACAAGCTGAGGGTGTACAAATCAATGGCACGGAGTTTCCCTTCTACGGTAACGAAACACGGACGCTCTACAAGAGGGATACGCGCTTTATGAAACGATTTAAACAGTGATACGTGCGTCGGATTCTGCACATCAGATGGTTACAGAATTCCTGACGCGGAAGTGTTTCACCGAAACAGCATATACGGAATGGATTGTATCCAATTGCTACGACACTTGAGGTCACTCACACATGTCTGCCATATGGAATCGACTAGAATATGGAAAACACTTGTTACATTTCCTATTTTGTACAGGGAAGAGGAACGCAAGCAAACCGTATCTACGTAACCAGGGTGTTATTAAGGTGAGTTTATCATGAACTAATGTTGAGTTTAGGTATGGGGAAACAATGGATAGTCGCCAATAGTGTGAGCATATCAGAAATTCCGCTTCCCAGGTACACGAAAGAGTACTGTTGCATCCGGAAGAATAACGCCGGTTGCACAAGCATAAGATGCCGACGGAGTCTGGTCCGTTGACATCATGCACCTGCTGACGTAGCTCTTGCGGTCGTATGAGCCACAGCCAAGGTCTGGTAAGCCACCAACGTGGTCACAGGAGGATTAGCGGGTGACCATCATCGATTGATAGGCATCCTGCTTCAGGGCCCATTTACTAACCAAGGTCAATAGTGTGGTAAATGTGGTACCTGCGTCACATCAGCGCTGTAGTTGGTCTGATTGATAGCTTAAGCCTGGTCGCGTTTGGTGTGAATATTGGTAAGGTGCTTACCGGTCGAAAACCACCACCTCGATAATACTGGCTCCAGAAGACGGCTGCGAGTTGCTGGGTACACGGTTTTCGTGGCAGTGCTAGACTTCATCCAGTGTGGAACGGGCTGCGGCTCAGTCACCGCCCTGTGTATATCTGATACGCATGTTTCCCCCTATTCGAATAAAATGAATGAGGTGTATGTTGAATGAGCGTGAACCACCTTCGAATCAGTAGTGGCTCCCATCTAAATGCCTCCCGGTCTTATACCTTCGCGTTTGCACTGGATATGGGGCGCCTAGATGGAGCTGTGGGTGGTGCAGTAAAAGCCGCACATGGTCCCTCAGTAGGCGCAGACGTCCTGTAGTTGATCGCGGTCTCAGTGACGGACAAATCCGGGCACGGATGCCGCCAGCCACGTATAATAGAAAGTCACACCGCTTTGTTAATAAGTGAAGCAGTCTCCTCAATGATGTGACTGCCAGAGGTGATATAACTGACAAGTGAACCGACCGACCGTTGCCAGTGCCTGATCGCCGGTGCCATATGGGTCCGGTAATGAAACCGTACTCTGTAAGTTGAATATACAAAGCACATGCCGAAGAATGCAATGCCACTCGTCAGTCGAACCACTAGTGCTTGCACTGCCACTGCGACAAGCCTAAAGAAAGCTATGCCGTCTGCACACTCGATGTTTGCCAGTTGGTCACTTGGAAGAACTTACACTCAGAAAACACCTGAAAGAGCGGAGTCATTTATGATCATATGGATCAAAAAGTTGAAGAGGAAAGTAGATGTAGGACACTTTGGCGAACTCCACTGTTTGTTGGTACCTCAAGGTGCCTTTCAGATCATGAGAACCACTACAGTCGGTCATCTGTACAGAAGGAACGCAACAACGGTCCGTCGGCACAGTATGTGTGCCGACGGATCGGTGCCACGTGGCCACGACACAGTCGCATGTGGGGGGCTTGGTATACACGGAGGTAGTCCACATCAACACAGATTCGAACCGGCGCGACCTTCGGACTACCAGACAGACGCTCCATCTTTTTGGCAACCGACTGTCCGTAAATGCGTTGTTGCTGTAACACTTGAAGAAGAGTAAATATGTGGTCGATGCGAGCAAGACAAGGGTGGTAGCAAGCCTGGTTTTCGGTGATTTGACTCACAGGAAAACCGATAAGTCGACGAAGAATTATATCCGTGAGAAATTTGGAAAGAATGAAAACTAGACTAATCACTTTCGTGCAAATTCCACTGATCATCTTTGAAGATAGGCACGCAGTTGATAATTACTAGTTCGAACGCACCTCATCAGTATCCCAAATAATGTTAAACAGTGTAGCAAGTTCATTTAACGAAGTGAAACTCCCATATTTGAGCAAAGATAGAGGAAGGTTGTCGAGTCCAGGAGCCTAGTATGGATTCAACACATAGAGTTCTTGTCGAATATCTTCAAAATTCCCACGTCAGGTCAAGTGATTTAGTAAACGGCAGTGTCACAGAAAAGCTATTGAAATGCGTTTCAAAATATTCCGCCCAACAGCCTATTCGAGGCGGCTGGGAATGCATAAACTGTCCACCTTCCTGTGCCATTGTCTGATTAACTGATAGTTTTCTTGGATCCGTGTCCCGGATAAGAAGAAACAGCAGCCTGCCGTTGCTAACAGCACTGGGTTATTTCACCTCACGAGCTCATGTCACTCACTAACATTCCCAGCCAATTCGAAGAATCCTTGTCAGTCGTTGTTCCAGGGCGTTACGGATACGACGAAACTCAATCACCAGCGGAACTAGTTTGCGTGTTTCGATAAAATTGACCGGTATCTCACAGACCTGCTTGCAGTTTGAAAATCCTAAGTTGGACGATAAGGAGAGATCAAAAGCATTCTCTTATGGTATACTTGAGAGACGATCCCAGTCAGTGTTCGACTCTGCGAACTATTCGCCGCCGAGAACTGGTGGGCCAGTTAGTGATGAGATCGCGGAATCGCGGATTGCAAGTGCGAGTTATAAGCGACAACATTAGAAATTAGGCGCTTTTTGACTTGGAAAGAATGAGCGCCAGGTGCGCAAGCAGCAAAGCAATGTGGGAAAAATGCGCAAGCGTTGATCGTGCCTTGATCAGACGTCCACCGTTAACCACTAGATCCCGAGTTCCACCCCAGCACATGCTATCGCCATCGGATGAGTCCAAACCAGGACGAAACCGGTTTTGGGGTGTCTGTGTTGGGAAGAACAAGACAGAAACACTATGCCTAGATTGTTTGTTGTAGCCCCGCAGTTACTCGATGGGTTGTGAGGCTGAATTGCCGAGTTCCGCCTAACTAGAGTAATGTAATCGCAGTGCGGTGGGATAAACCGAGATGGTGAATGGGCCCGATAAATATAGTGGAACAGGAAAAGCATATGATTTTCCGATGAGAAATGTCTTCTCTAGCAGAATCAGACTTGTTGTTAACAGTAGCAACATTCAACAGTGTGATTTACAGAGATCTGGAGAAGCCGGTAGATAGGCAGTCTGGTTGCCTTGTGAAAACAATGATGGGTGCAGGAAGCCATCGTAGGTTTTTCAAGAAACTACGGCACTAGAGCCTATTCTCCAGCAGAAACCGGTTCCCCGGCACCATTAATCAGCGCCGGTCACTTGTGAGTTGACATCAATGGGGATGCCTAGTAGAAACTGTAGCCCGTGGATAGAACATCAGCAATACACTAGGTTGTAAGCTTACTGATACTTCGGAAATCGCTCTGTGAAAAATGGAGCAAGGTCACAGGTCCCAAACCAGCTCGAATGTACCCAACTCACAACGGTATTAGCTAGTAGATTATTAAAAAAATAGTAGCTGACGTACCGTGATCCCGTGATGAGTGCAACCTCTGCAGCCACAATCCATAATAACATAAACCTTCGTAAAGGTGCTGCAATCTCTGAACGTGCTCAAATTCGGGTTCACGCGTGATGATAGACTCGGAGGAGGTGTATCGATCTATTGAAGCCTGCGTTGTGGGTGCAAAAGACAAAAAATATACAAAGCCGAAAGACTGTGAGCCAAGTTAAAGGCAATGAGATCAACACATCTTAGTGAAATAAGTATGATCCGAGTGAGGAAATTAGATGGCCTTAATAACCATCACTTGCATGGTCAGGATAACAATATATAACTGTGGTGGAAAACATGAGGCGGAACGTAAAGGGAATACAAAGAAAAATAGATTGAGGAAAAGCAAATCAAATTGACCAAAGTGGAGTGTTAACAGGTAGACGTAATAAATAAATTGCAAAAGCATCACTGAATGCGCGGCTTATCCATATTTGACTAGGTATGCCAATCACAGTCGGTCGTGGAGTGCAGAGTTGGTGGAGGGCAGCAACCCCGTTAACTCTCCAAGCACGGATGTGGACCCCTCTCCGAGACCCCCATCCACACGAACACTGAACCTCATCTTCAGCTGGTGATTGGTAATCCAAAACGGGTACGAGTATAAGCAGTTCGCCGATGCTTCACCGTGGACTGTCACGCACAAACACAAAGAGTGACCCGTGAGCCAGGATTTCTGTGAGGTCGCCGCGCCTAAGCAGACTCGAGCCATTTACAAGCCGCATACTCGAGCCCATCGGCCACCGGTTGGTGAATGTCCGAACTCCAAACGTACACATGCAGCTGTTCACTGGAATCCAATGTAGTAATCATAATGATAAAAAATATGTATATTTCTCAACAGGTGAGAAGCTGCGTCCATATTTGGCACGGACCATATATTTCATAGTCTAGCATGGGCAATAGCATGTTATGTTCTCATACTTGTCTGCGGTTTCTGGCAAGGTGTACAGCAGAGTTTCCCAAACATTTTGGCTTGCGGACACCTTTTTAGTAGAGTCTAGCACGGCGGACTCCCTGACATAGTGTTAACCAAAGGACTAGGCTTTAATAAAATGAAGATGAGGCGCAGTGTCCAGAAAACGTTTACTGCTGTACACTGAATTAACACGGATGTACATTCATGTTAGTAAAAAATGAAAGTTGTATTTAGGTAGAAATAGACAACGTATATTGAGGCTTAAAGCGAGTGGGATGACATTGTTTCTGACATACAGCGCTGACTTATTTGATGTTATTGTGGAAAGCTGCAACCTCATATCTAGTGCAGATTCATGTATTATATTGCGGTACCTAGTTTTTGCATAAGTATAATGCAAAAATGCACTTTCACACAGATGAGTTGTGGCAAACAGGAAAAGCATGGCAGCAGCTGTCTTCGTTATGATAGAGTACTCGTCCTTCGTTTTACCAGATAAATCAGACAGCCAAAAGTTGTGAAACTCTTCAGGAAAGAAAAATACGACATCATGTCGAGGAATTTCTCATACTGATGATATGTAAAAGAAAACATTTTCGTGCAAATAAATGGGTTCTTGACCCATGAAAATTCTTTCGATTTTTCCTCAGCTTCGCTGGGGGAATAGTAAGACAAGGATTCTACCAGATCTTCCAAACGCTGCACAGTTTCTGTAGATAGATCTTCTGGGAGGCGGACTCTGAGGGTGTTTTACGACGGACGATGTGATTCTATCGGCCCCAGAATGGAAGAGGGTTGGATAGAATTAGCTGTCTGGTGGATATTACGAATAGAGACATCAAGTATAGATACAGCTTTAGAAAGTTCCACTCTGGTTGAGATTTCATGCATCTTGTGAGATGTATTAGCCACAGATTGTCTGGTATTCAACCTGCTCACAGATCGTCCCACGTCCAGTTCTCAACTACACATATGCCCTTCCCGGTCAACGCCAACAACAGCTCAATGGTTGGACCTGATGGAAGTAACAGTCGAACTCCTGGTGTTTGATGCCCGGCGATTACAGTTTTCTCACACTCTACCGACATCCCAGCTTTTCTTCGACCTGAGCCTTCATTCGGACACGCATCATTCAGTTTTCGCACTCAGACGCAGATCGGACGGTAAGCTTGCCTGGTCTGCACCTTTGAGAAGTTCTCGGCAAACATTTGCCGCCTTTAGGAAACCAGATTGCAGGACTCCAGTAATCCCATCCGAATAATCTCCGGAAAATCCATTTGCGCCTTTTCCGGGGAGGCAGAGGTTGCTGCTTCTGGTCAGCCTGGTGTTGGGGGTTGCATTGAGTGACAGGGCTGAGACCGCTTTACTTATGAATGGAAGGATTTTGGTGAGTATTTTTGTTCGTCGCAATCAGCCGACAATTCAGATATGTCGACCAGCTATCCGGAAAAGCATCAGATGGCCGTTTCGCCCTAATGGGGCTCATCATTCATACCAATTGGCCCGTACGGATTCCACAAAATGCTATGTCGATTCATAGCTGCCGTAACCGGGAAGTCCTGACGCCGGAAGGCCAACCGCTGTCATCTGCATGGCAGTGGAGGATGCGTCGGGCTATATGGCATTTAGCTAACAATTCATGATAGTCAGATACCGTCCTCTATGGCGCAGTTGCATAAGCTGCGGGCTAGTTGGCGAGAGCCACTAGCAGTCATGGGTTCGATCCTCCGCAGAGGACCGAAGGATGCGCACCACTGATGAGCCCCAATAGGGCGAAACGGCCGTCTGGTGCTTTTCCGGATAGCTGGTCGACATATCTGAATTGTCGGCTGATTGCGACGAACAAAAATGAGACCGCTTTGCACGACTGGATCACAGTGAACAGTCGGCTGTGTGCGATCAGACTACGAGGTTCATGTCGGTTAAGTCAGTATCGAGCGGGCCTTATTTGTCGTCTCCGCCTACGCTCCTACAAACTGTAGCCCGGATGCAGTCAACGACTGCTTTTATCAACAAATACATGAACTTCTGCGTTCCTGCAGGAAGTCTGATATTATCATTCATTTTAACGCCCGAGTGGTTCATTTGCCACTAAGCGAGCACCAGCTTGAGGGTAGTTTTTGCCTTGGTAGTAGTCGACCGGGCAATGGAGACAGACTCTTGCCTTTTTGTTCTGATCATCGCTTGTCTCTTCCGAGCATCAAGAGACAGGCTTCGATTTGGCGGCCGCCTTTTCATACGCATGAGTGGTCCCAGCTTGACCACATAGCAAGATTGGACGGAAGCGTATTGGTCAACTTGTCTGGACTCCGACCACGCATTGGTTCGTGCTAAAGTTTGCATGTTTCGGAGGATCGCCCAGGCGTACACACTACCGGCCGAATGTCGAAAACCTGCAAGACCTTAAGACGTTATCCAAGTATGAAGCTTCTTAGTCGACATTGCTTGCTTCAGCTTCTGATGATGATCTAAATTCACAATGGGTGGGCAGCAAAGATGCTTTAGTTACTGTCAACATTGATAGTTGTGGAGTTACCTGTGAATCACTGCTGCCTTCTTGTCGTTAATTGACAGATGCCGCTCGGTATCTGCCGACATCAGCTGTAGTAACGAACGTCGATCCCTGGATCAAGAATTGCGCAGAAGTTTGCAAAAGGACCGTAAAGTCTGATGGTGTGAACATGCTAGAGTGATGGAACTTGCTAGTCTCTCCGGTAATACCAGAATCTGTTCCATCTCATCCGAATCACCGAAGGTTTCCGAGCTGATGTACATGAAACAATCTGCGAAGTTGATGGCTCACTGATCACCAATCATGGTTGTAACGATGGGCTGTTTTGCTGGCCATCAGCCTCCGCTACATCCTCTGGAGTGCGCACTGGTGCTGAGTAGTCTGTCTCCACAGATCGTCTCAATCTCCAGGAAATCTGGCAGGAACTCCACCAACTGAAGCGTCATAAAGCACCCAGACCCAGACGGCTTACCTTCTGCTCTCTTTAAAGATGGTGGTCATTCGCTGGTTCAAGAACTCAACACTTTGTTCTCAGAGGTCTGGTAAGGGAAAGTGAGTCGACTGTCGCCCAATGTGTTCCAACTACAGAGGTATAAATTTGGTTCCCGTCATCTGCAAGCTTCTGGTGTAAATCAGAGTTCGCAGGCCATCCCCAATGCATGAATCGTTACAGCGAGCAGAACAGGCTGGGTTCCGTCCTGGTCGTGGCTGCATCGATCAAATCTTCATACTCCGTCAGACCCTCCAGCTCAGCCATGTGTACCAAAAGCCAACGATCGTTGTGGTCCTGGAAATTGGTGCTGTCTTCGATTCTGTTGACAGGGCTGCATTGTGGCACTGTCTGTTGAGGAATGGTATATCCGGGAAATGCGATTCCATTCTGTATGCTCTGTATAGTCTGACCTCGGGTAGAGTTAGAGCTTATGACAAGCTTTCGCCTTCCTTTATTGTCACCAATTGGGGACGATATGGATGTCCTATCTCAACATACCTCTTCAATTTTGCCATTATGTCCTCAAAAATGCTCTAGCAGTCTCGTTGAACGCTGGCGTCATGCTCCTCCTCAGACTAGGCTGATGATATCATCTTGTTGGGTGGCGGTCCACAGGCCATCCAACTTGCACCTAGTCGCGTAGCGATTAAAGCGTCAAAGTATGGGATGGCTTTTCCCATCGAAGTGCAAAGCACTTTCTAAAACTGGCAGATACCTTTACCACCCCTCACTCATGGTGGCGAGACACTGGAGGCTGTGGAGGGTTCCGTCTACCTAGAAAGTTGCATTACTGCTGGTGGAACAGTTAGAGAGGAGATTTCGATGAGTATCTCAAGAGCTCGTCTCGCCTTCTCCAAGCTGAGGCACTTATGGCGTCGCCATGACATCCGTCGCCACGATAAGAACTCCCTGATGTCAATGCATATGGATGTCGAGAACCATCAATTCGACCTAGAGAATGCCAGTATCCTCGGAAGGGCTAAAAGCCGGCAAGCATGTGAGTTCATTGAAGCCTGGCATACAAAACAGAACTCGATCAATAAGCACTTGGACATTGAAGTCGCTTACGAGGCACTGCGAACCAGGCCCCTGAAGCCGCACTGATGACGTTGCCTAGTCAGGCAACGAAACGTCACTCAGCTTGGAGAACAGCTCAAGACCCGCATGACATCTGTCTCTCGATCAAAGGGCGAG